CATTCGACCACTGAAAACAATTTTTCTTCTTTTCTATTCGTAGACTTCGTAACATGGTCAAAAATCATAGTTTAGTAGTAGCATCGTACGATATTGTAAGAAACGACGGTGAATTCTTCAGGTAAGGAGAGTTACCGAGTGGTAATTGAAACGCGCATCGTCAAGGCACAGCAGTTATTTCATCGAAATATCTCGTTTGTTTCTTCCAAACAGATCAGTGCACTGGAACTACTGTGTCCTTGACGAGGGCCATATTATAAAGAACGGAAAAACAAAGGTAGGTTACGTTTTGGTGTTTCCTTTAGAAAGCAAACGTTGAGGAGATTGATGATATTTCCCTGACAGAAAAAAAACAGTTCGAGACGAAGATATCGTATTTTTGTTATTCTCCATGTGTTATCTCTGTGACAGGATTTAAACAGGGTCTCCTTTTTATTATTGGTGTTTCATTGATGGTTTTTCCCTAAGAACGATTTCGAATCGCCCGAAATGGAACGTTAGCGATATAGTCTAGTATTCAAATTAAAGGCGAACGGTAACAAGCATCGACCCCTTAAAGCAGCTAGGACAGAATCGTTAGCAAGCTCTTTGTAATGCATCGTTATTGATATCGACACGGGTCATAATGGGAGGCTTTCACTCCAATTCTTTGAATTTCATTTTTTTTTTCTTCCTTCAAGCTTGCGAAAGTCATCAAGCAGCTACGAGCCAGTAATCGACTTATACTCTCGGGAACACCAATCCAGGTTCGAATTGAGGGGCTTTTATTAAGCAAATAAAGCTATTCGATTTAAATATGGGAAGATGACGAGTCAATGCTCTTACAGTTATTCCAGGTGTAGATCCTAAAATCTTCTTCTTTTACGTACAAAGAGAAGAATGAAATGTTTTCCTCCGCCTGGTATAATGTGAGGAAATGTCAACAGCAGCCTCTGTCGAACAGCAAAACGTTGTTCATGTCTCTTAAATATTCTTCGTCACAATATTAAATATTGAGATAATTGAGACGTTGCTGGTTGTAATGTGTCGTTCATTTTTGTTTCATTCTCACCATACTCCTTTGTTATGAGTTATCTTTCCGTCTAATTGCATAATTTTGTAGTTTTTTGTATTGCTTTACTTTGTTCAGTCCTATAAAGACTTGATGCAATGCCTTACGTTCATGACTTGCTACGTTTTATTTACAGAATAATGTCCTAGAGCTGTGGTCATTGTTTGATTTCTTAATGCCTGGTTTTCTCGGAAGTGAATAGCAGTTTCAGTCTCGGTTTGGTAAACCCATTCTACAGAGTAGAGACGCAAAATCGTCTTCTAGGGAACAAGAAGCTGGTGAGTGTCCGTGAATCGAGTACTTAGTAGCTAACACAAAGCCTGCGTAGCTTTTCGTCCGTAATGAAAAATAAGGCAATCTGAACAGTTAAATGACCATCGTGAGTCTCATCCTCTCTTCGCCACTGAAGAGTTCCACGGAGCCGCTAGCTACGTGTGTCAGCCACCTTAGCAGCCTGAGATCTGGCTCAGCGTTCGATGAACAAAAAGGACAATAGATGTTGTCCTTCACCAGTAAAAACAAAGTAACCGGCTCGTGCAATACGCTCCCACTTTTCAGCTATCGTAGGGTTATTACTTCGTGTATTTGACTGAAATATTAGATGGTTTTACCCTGGATTTCCCGTCGGTCTCACCCTTTTCATTCCAAAGACCACGCCCTACAGAAAGAGAGTTGTCCCTCCTCGATGATGATTTTTTTTGAAAAAGTAGAAAATGAAGATCCTCTAGCCGTAGACTCTTTGTCTGTCAGTAAGATTTCATGGCGTTGTGGATCATAAATGAGGTGATACCGTGGTCTGTATTGACACATGTCTCTTTCATAGGGGCCTTGGCTATGGAGGCCCTTCATCGTCAGGTTTTACCATTCCTATTGAGGCGCCTGAAAGAAGATGTGCTGCAAGATCTTCCACCTGAGATCATCCAAGATTACTACTGTGAACCGAGTCCGCTACAGGTCAGTCTGTTGCTAAGGCCAACAATTAAAGTGCGCCACTGGGTCGATGTATGATAGTTTTCGACAATATTTGATAGTTGTCGGGAGGATGTGAATGTTCAAGCAGTTGTGTGAAAATTTCAAGGATTCCCAACATGTATTTTTTTTGGCGAATTTCTGAAAATTGCCCTCCAGATCGTTCCTCTCACTTTTCATTTTACAGGTTCAATTATATGAAGACTTAGCCAAGTTTCAGGTCAAGAAAGGTTTGGAGGAAACAGTTTCTCACATGGATGAAGAAAACAAAAACGAG